ACTTCCGAATGATACTGTATTGGAAGATAAAATCGAACACATTAATGGATACAAATGCTCAGTAGAACTATCAATTAATATGCGTAACTGATCGAGCAGATCATACTGATAATAATTCTGTATTACATCCAATCCAATGATCCTTTCATTTTGTTCACACATATTTCGTATTAATTCTTGCTGAAATAGATACTACACAAATACACATAATAATTATTATAATAATGATTATTATTATTGTTAAAATTACTATTATTATTTTTATTTTTATTTGCTGTTACTTATGATAATGACCATTATCATAATTATAATAATTAATTATGGCAACAACAATAATAATGATTATTATTATTATTATTTTTATTTATTTATTATTATTATTACTATTATTGTTATTATCATTGTTATTATTATTGTTATTATTGTTATTATTATATTATTATCATTATTATCATTGTACCATTATTATATTATTACTATTAATATTTATTTGTTATTATCACTAATGTTATTATTAAAAGTTACTATTATTATTGTTGTTGTTATTATCATTATCATTCTGTCAAAAAAGATATGTGTTGATTCGGCAATGTGGAATTTCATTTGACCTTTCAAGTATCTCATATCATTTACTGCATTAACAAGCATTAATGCAAAATAATTTGTTTATATTTGTGATAATAAATAGAATAATCAATAAAAGAAAAATGAAAAGAAAAAAATAGCAGAACAATAAAAAAGTTTAGAAGGTAATTAAAAAAGTTTTACCGGTTAATTAAAATTTGCTTCATTTATTACACTTATTAATGTAAGGAAAGAACAAAAAGATCAACTTACTACTACATTCTATCATTTTTATTTGTTTTATCTTATTACTTCAAATAATACATCATTTCCGATGTTCAATTTATCAAATATTTTCTATTATTATTATATTTTTGATTTTTATGAAAATGATTTGGTATTTAATTAAATCAAAACGAAGTTTTACTCGACATTCCAAATGACAAATCTGAAAAGCACATTGCTTATTCAATTGTCGGTATTGAAAATTTTCGACTACATTAGCGGATACTTCATAAAGATACAGCTTTTCATTCCATTTTATGGGATATCGTCGTGCAATATGGCGGCACACTTCATTGCATTGGTCATGTCTGCTACTACTCGTTAAGCTGGAATTGATTTCGTAAAATTAATCAATTTAAAATTAAGCTAATTAAATACAATTGTAACAATAAGAAGTAAAAAATCAAAAATGAAAGCAAAAAGCGATCGAATAATTAAATTTACGAGCGAAATTAATAGATATTAAATAATTTTACAAATGGTGAAATTTGTTAATTTCCAGAAACAGTCAAATATTTTTAATGAAATTAATATTTAATATAACAGGTCGAAGAGAAAAAAATTGCAATTATTAAGAATTGTTCTTTAGTTTTTTTCCTTTCTAAACAAACAGATTAACCAAGAAAACAGATAAATGAATGATTTAGGTAATTTAGCAAGATGAATCATCGATTGTATTTTTCAATTGTAATTTTATAAATTTGAAGAAATTTTAAAAGCGAAAAATTGGAACAAAAAGACTTACTTCAAACAATTAAGTGCATTTTCAAATTGCATTCTTTTAAAAGCGCAAATATGTAAATCACTACTCCACGGTATCTGTTTATGATTCATTTCACATTTCACATGCCAGCATGCTAACTTTTGCTTCGTTATATTGCAAAATGTGTAAAAATTATCGAATGATTCAGTAATTAATTCATCTAATGGAAATTCATATAATTCTTCATCGTAATTCTTTTGAAAATGCATCTGTAAACAAATTTCAAATTTAAATTTAGAAGGAAAAGGAAAAAATAAAATGATAGAAGGATAAATATAGATCAAAAAGAAAGAAGTAAGATTGATTGAAATTAAGGTATGATTGAATTATCATTAATTAAAGCAAATTATGATGAATGTATTAGTAGAAGAAATGAATGGTTGATTGTAGTGTTAAACCTATAAAACTACAAAGTTATGAATTATGATGTTTCCATCATCAGACGTGATGTCACCACGGTCAAAGGAAGAAACAACTAACTGGCCATTACGGGAAATTAATGAAATGAACAAACGTTACGGAGCGCAGAGAAATTGATGAAAAAAATGATTAGGTTGACAACAAAAGGCGATGGGAACAACTGCGTGTGGAAAAATTGTTATAGAAAAGAGAATTAATTAATAAATTACTTTAATAATAGAAATAGAATATATACTCAAAGTTAATATCTGATCATTAACTTAAATAAATTTCGATCATACGACTTATTATTTTCATTTCATCTAACGCTTCTTCAATGCCATCAATTAACAATGATAACAATTAGGATGAATTTAATTCTCTTAAACAGAGTATTAGAGGTAGATTTATCAAACGCTGATTGAATATTCTCAAAACTATCGATAAATTCTGGAAAATATAAAGAAATGAATATTTAATTAATCTTAGAGAATGTACAAAAAGGAAAAATATTCTCCTCTAAAACTATTAAAATACGAATATCAGATGAGGATGAAATTGTTCTGGTAAAGTGATTAAGAACCGGAAATTCTTCATAGTAAATGGGAATTAACCAGAATGAAAGAAATTTTAAAAAAAAAAAGACAAACATGAAGAAGCAAGAAATACCGTAGTAGGAATGTACTCGTCGGAAACTTCTCGTAAGGACAGATAACTTGTTATATTCGCCAGAAATTAACGATGAAGAAAACATAAATTTTAAATCAACAGCAGAAACTAAAAAAATCCACTCTGAAAGTTGTTGGAACAAGAAGAACGTATCCCTTTACGAATTTAAAATGTTGACAAAATCAATGACGAATTCAAACAAATTATCTTTCCATAATTCCAAAAAAAAAAAATTTCCCTTTATCAATTTGAAGTGTTTTATAACCCAAATAACACCTCAATGTATATGAATTTGGCATATAAAAGTTGTTTTAAATTGAATATTTTTTAGATAAATGATTCATTACACAAATAATAATAATAATAATAGTAATAATAATAATAATAATAATAATAATAGTAATAATAATAATAATAATAGTAAATTCAATCTCATGGTAATGAGTCATTTGCGCAACTTTCATCGCTTAAATTAATAGTCAAATTTATTTCCATTATTTCCAATGTTTAAATTTTTCCATTGATTTCTTATTCAATTTGTACTGCAATATCTGGATTGTAGCAAGTCAATAGCGTTTTTTTTTTTTGAAGATATTCCAATGTTAACAATCAACCTTATATTCCCATGTGAATTACTGTAACAAACAAAGCTCCTTTTATTTAAACTTTTTTTTTTTTCAATCTATTAAGAATGGAGTATGTACATTGTGAGAATGTTGCAAACCACCCCCACTATATAAATATGAGAGTTAATTCTTTCGAGAGTTGCATTCTAATCTCTTCTCGATAAATAGCATTGGAATTTCTCCTCGAATACTTTCAACAAGAACCTATAAGTACATCCAATTATCCAGTCTATTGATATTATTCGTTATTACTTCAAAGTAAAGTAAATATTCTGAAATCAATAAACCTTTGATATGATGAAAATTCACCGATGAAAATCAATAACACAACAAGGAACTCAATTTCCTCAACAATTGCATCATTTCACGGTATTTGTTTACGATTCATTTCACATTTCAAAATGGTAATTTTTATTGCGTTACATTGCAAAATGTGTAAAAATTATTAAATGATTCGGCAATTAATTCGTCCAATTGAAATTCATAAAATCCTTAATTGTAATTCTTTTGAAAATGCATCTGCGAATAAATTTTAAATTCAAATTAGAAGGGAAGAAAGAAATGAAGTAATAGGAGAAGATTGAATGAATGAACGATATTGGAGGAATTGTATAAGATCAGTCTAGATTGCCAGTCTAAGTCAAAAAGTAAGAAAATAAGACTAATAAAGATTAAGCGATGACTTAATTATCATTAATTAAATCAAATGTGACGAACACACTAGTGGAAAAAATTGAATGTTTGGCTAAAATGCTAAACATTTCTTTTGCTTGGCTTGTTCCTTAATAATTACAAATGATAGTTTACAAATGAAAATAATGAAATAAAAAAAAAAGTTGGAAAGAAGAAAAAGAAAATTAGTCAAAAAATTTTTGATATAGAATTTGAAAAAAATAAAATTAAAATTAGTATAAATTAGGAAAATATTATTTGCTACAAAAATGATATTTTTATTTGAAGTTAACGAAAGTAATAATTAAAAATACTTTTTTTTCAGATCAATCCAACCATTTTTAATGTTTTGTCATATTTTTTTACTTAAGAGATTAAAAAATTTTAACAGAATAATAGGATTTTTCTTTTTTCATTTTTTTGAAAATTTCAAATATAAGAGTAACATTTTATTTAGTCATTTGTACTTTGAGACAGTTAAATTAGCTAAATAATTTTGTTTAAGAATTGAAAATTTGACATGATGGAAGGAATATGAATTAATTTTAACAGGAAATTATAATCTTTAATATGCAATTAAATTACAGCATTAAAACTCGCAAATCCGAATTAAAAATTTTTTGATTCTAATCTTCATCATTTCTTATATTATAAAATATTTGCTATAATAATATTATACCAAGAGAAGATCCTGCTTTTTTTAGTCTTTATATAGTTGGATACTTTTTTTAAATTATTCAATTTTTTTGATAAAATTTATTTTATTTCTAATTAATCAATAATCCATATTTTATTAATTCCTTATAGTATTAGCAAAAAAAAAGAAAAAAAATTAGGCAAATAAAAACTAACATGAAAATTGCTTTTCCATTGTGCGTCACATTGCGCTTTGCAATTGATTAACTTGTATTCATCTGTAGCATCAATACTACTATTATTATCATTATCACCATTACTATCACTACCACTACCAATGATATTTTTCAGATAATCATCATTTCGCTGAATAAATTCGGTGGAATACAAATTACAGCATTGTTGTTTTGCGACATTTGCGCTTGCATATACGGTTATCAATACCAGCACTAAAGATCAACAGATAAATAAACTTGTAAATTTTGCTAATTTCAGAATAAATTTAAAATTTTTGACATTTTACCATCCCTTATCTTATCATTGATTCATTGACAAACATTTCTTTCTTTAGTTCATTTATAATTGAAGTATTTATAAATTTTTGTTTTAATTTATAAAATTTCACCCAAAATACCAAATTAATCTTTATCATTTCAGAGAACTTTCAGTTACTTGTTATATTTGCAATTTCTCCCACCTTCCGAAGTTCATAAAATTAAAGTTCCACTATTAAAGAGAACATTTTATACTTATTTTTTAAATAATAAACTTACCAAAGGATATAATTGTCGTGAAATTTAATTGCATCGATTCCTAACGTTTACTTTCTAAATATTTAAATGAAATTTAATAAATTTAAAAAATCAGTTGAACGTAAAGAGAAGATTGTGAAGTAAACATTTTTAAATTAAAAATTTTTTTAGGAATATTTCTTAGAGAAAATTTGTTAGAAATATTGATCAATGTGATATACTGTCACATTTTAATACTAATAGCTTATGTATTTTATGAATTCTTCTGTGCTCAAATCAGAAATATTGGATGACAAATTCAAGTCGATAATGAATAATTATTAATTACAAATTTATCAAAATAATTGAAAGAAAAAATCGATGAAAAAACATTAAAAATTTAGTAAGATTTGAAAATGCAATGAAAAGATTAATAAAAAAGATATATTTTCAGTAAAAAAAAACTGAATGATAGAAGTAATTTCGAACTTCTGAACAGTTTGAAGGGTTTGAATATTCAAAATAAAATGAACGGATAGAAAAATGGATCAACAGTACCGTGTTGCATTAACTCTTGGCATCATTCTTTTCATCTTCATTATTATTGTCATTTTTATCGTCATCAATCATTATTATCATTATCTACAACATTTTCGTAGTCATAATCAACCATTGACTGGATGACATTATTAACTGTTACTTTAAAAAAAAAAAAGAAGAAAACAATTTATGTTAATTATTAGTTGTCAATTATGTGAATGGAAATTATTACGCGTTTCAAATAAATAGAAAACTTTCAAAAGAAATATTATGAAAAGAGAAGGGAAAACAAAGAGAGAGAGAGAGAGAAAGAGAGAAGTAATAAAGTAAGAGTATGAATTTGACAAATTATTGTTAAATAATCGTGAAGTGAATGAAATGTTATGAAATTTAGGCAATTAAAAGAGTGAAAAGTAAGAGAAAAATTGAAATTGGATGGAAAAAGGAAGAGAAAGAGAAAAATATTTGAAAATGAAGGAATTAGTGAAAACTTTCAACTAATCAAATTTAAAAATACTAATAATAATAATAATAATATGCAAAATTTTTATATCAAAATGAAACAAAAGAAAAAGAAATTTTTCTTTTGCAAGTTTTAATTAAGCATATAAATAATTGTTGAGTGTGTTATAATTGGTAATGATGTTATAGTAACTAATACTAATATATTAATTAATTAAGGGAAAATTGGAAAAGAAAACAAAAAAAAAAAACATCATAAAATGTTAAAAATGAAGAATATTTGCGCAGAAGAAAAATTAGATTTTTTATTTCATTTTCCTTTCCATTTTTTTTTAGTTTTAATGCAATGTGTATTTGATTCTTTGCATAATTACAATAATTTATGAGAAATAAAGTTTTGCTTTTTTCTTTTTTCATTTCACTAAAAATTTTTGTTTCATTAAAAATTTATTGTTTCTATTTATTGCTCTCTCTTTTTTTTTTGCAATAATTTGTTTTTCTTTCCTTTTTTTATCTTTCTATTCTTTCCTTCTTTTTTTCCATTTTTTTTCTTGCAATTTTATTTTCAAGAAATTCCTTTTTTGTATTTTCTTGTTTTTCATTAAAATGAAATAAAATGGAAGAAGTTATAGAAATAGAATTTATTATTAAATCATAAAATTTATTGTTAATTTATAGGAACATTATAGAAATGGTAGTTATTTATCCCATTTACTATTTTTATCACTTAATGATAAGATGCAAAAAAAATAAGCGGAAAAAGATGAAGTGATAATGGTGATTATCAGCAGATTGGTGATTATCAGCAGTAATTGAAAAAGACTGTTGTTGTATGATCATGATTACAGATGATTATAGATATGATTATATATACATTATTGTATGATTATGGAATTGTTTGTTGAATCAGATTGAATGGGATAAGTATGAATAAAATGAAATCGATTAAATTAAATATTGGATCATTCATTTCTAATTTGATACTGAAAAAAACAAAATGAAATGAATCTATTGCTATTGATAATTGCATGATGCATGTGATGATGCATGATGCATGATGCATGTTTGCATTACGTGACGTATATTTGCAACATATTATTAGTTGCATTTTTTTAAATGTATTTTTGCAAAATTTTTAAATCCTCTCTCCTTTCATCTCTGTATAACAAAAAAAAAAAAAATTTCATTTTTTCTCGAATAAAAGATTTACATTTAGCTCTTAACAATTTTCTTTTTTTTTTTTGAAACATTTTTTCGTATTACTCAAATACTATTAAAGGAATATTGAATTATGAATGAATTAAAATATGATGAAAACAAAATTTGAAATGGTTAAATCAGGATGCATAAAGATAAATTCGTTCATCGGCAAAAAATACTAATGGAAAAGTTTAACCATGAAATTTGATTGTATTATGTTTATTTATTGACCGAAAATATTTTTTAATAAAATACTTTTGCAACTTTTTTTCAACAATTTGTTAAATTATACCAATTTTTCATTTAATTTATTTCGCAAAAATTAATGCATATCAAATTAACCAAAATGTTTGTCAAAAATTACAATAAATATAAAATAAAAACAGGAACGAAAAAAAATTTTAAATGATTATAATTCAAGCCGTTCTGGCTCATCAGGATTGTTACATTCATGAAATGTATCAGTATTGTTTTTCATGAAATTATTTTTAGCCAAATTTCGAAAATGCTGTGAATTACGAAATTCGGCAAACAGTGTGAAAAGTACATGAAGTGATTGAATTCGGGATTTTTGTACCGGTATATCTATTAATGCCAAACAAATATCAACATATTCTTCCAGTGATACGTCCAATGCTGCACTTGGTAACTGCAAAATAATAAATTATTTTGTTCAAGTTTATTTAATTAATTATTATAATACAGTATTATAAATGCAGCTGATGTACATGGTTGTGAATGGAAACAAAATCTGGTTTAAAAATTTTGAAAATTTTTGACAAATTAAAATAACTAAATTATATTACTGATACAAAAAAGATCTGATATTAAATTAATTATGTGGAATAATTATATTACTAAAAAAAAAGTATAAACAACCTATTAGGAAACAAAACAATAACATAGTATTCTTTTGAAAAAAATGGAAAATCTATCATTAACAACAACGCTGGAACAGCAACAGCAGTAACAACAGTAAACAACAACAACAATAACAACAACAACAAACAAACAAACAAACAAGGACAACAACAAACAACAACAACAGTAACAGCAACAACAGCAGCAATAACAGCAACAATAAACAACAGCAACAATAACAATAACAGCAACAAACAACAACAATAATAATAATAACAATAATAATAACACATAATAATGATAATAATAATAATAACACGAAAATAATAGCAATAACAAGCAGTAGCAAGAATAATAGTAGCAATAATATATCTTCGTGATAATGCCTTAAAAAGTATATCAATCCAATAAGAAATGAACGAGAAATGAATGCTATGAAAATAACAATAGCATAATGTATCATTAAAACTACCAGGGAAATATTGGGTAAAAAAGTTACTCAAAAAGTTACTCAAAAAAGTTACCAAAAAAGTTACTCAAAAAATTACTAAAAAAGTTACATAAAAAGCTACTCAATAAAAAAGTTATTTGGATAAAAAGTTTACTCATTGGATAGAAAGTTACCCAAACCTTGATAATTGTAAATCATTGTAAACAACAACAACAACAGTAATAACAACAGCAACAACAACAAAACAACAGCAATAACAATACAGCAATAATAACAATAGCAATAACAACAACAGCAATAGCAACAGCAATAACAACAACAATAATAACAGTAACAACAGCAACAACAACAGCAATAGCAACAGCGACAATAACATTACAGCAATAATATAATCTCCAAGTTATAGTAATAATATCTTTAAATGTGTAACATTTTCCTATCATCAAAGCAATAACAATATAACAATATTGTTTAACTTCTGAATTAACTACAAATTCAGGCTTGTTTTCGAGAATGTTTACAGTCAAAGCATTTTTCCCGTTATCAATAAATCATTTGATACATTCTTAATGTTTGTTAATTTTTAACAAATTATGATCCTGTCATCAAGATAATCTGATAATAATTAGTGTAATGCTATAAACTTTTTGACAGTCCAAAAATATATGCTAATTTTGACTAATTTTACTTTTTAAAAACTTTTTTCAAAAAAAAAGAATTAGAAATATTAATTGAAATAATAAACCTGTTCATTTTTTAGTAAATTTTCCACTTCAATTGGCCATTCTTGCATTAAATGCTCAATATTTGGCATCGGTTTCGTATAGATCACTATATCGGATGGTTTAGTTCGATGTATTTCCTGAAATGAAAAATATTCATAATTTCATTATTCCTCAATTAATTACTCTTTTCCCTTTCTTTTCTTGGATTTAAACTTTGAATGTAAGCAAATACTTTTAGAATGATAAAATAGAAATTACATGTAGGTAAATGATTATGTAAATAAGTAATTAAAAAAAAAAAACCTTGATACTACTTATCCAATGTTCAATCTCTTCAATATTTTCATCAGCTCGTTCTAATTTTTTCACCGGTATATCTTTTGCTAGCATATTTGTGTGATCTTTTAATTCATTTCGCATTTTTAAATTTAAAATGATTGGATCACTTTGTTCCATTGCTGGTTCATCCAATAATACCAAACCCAAATCATCTTCCACCTAAATACAATAAAATATCTTAATTAAATTTCAAACTTCTTCAATTTCAAATTTGAGAAAAAAGGATTTACTGAAAAATTTATTCGTGTGATGGTAATCATTTTTTTTTTGTTTTACATTAATTTTTTTTTTAAGAAGAAGGCAACTTCGCTTCCTTCATCTAAATTTATCAAGATTTGCAAAAGTTTGCAAAAAACAAATTCACTAACTCTAAATGAAATTTATTATATTGAAATAAATAAATTGCAAATTAATTGCTAACTTTTTTAAACGCATTAAAAATTGCAATAAATGATCAAAAATGTTGTTTACTAAAATTAAACAAAAATCGTTATAGAATTGTGAAATAATAAAATGGCGCGCGAAAATTAAATGGAGAAGCAAAAAAGTGTCAAAATTGAAAATTAAAAAAGAAACTGAAAAAATTAATCATTTGCTGCTAAAATTGATCATTTACTGCAAAAAGTGTTTAGCTTTTTTTTGATTTGTATTTTGGTTTTGAAATATAACATTTCAATAAGAAATAAAAAAAAATCGAAACCAAAAATTAATTTGAAAAATAAGTTAAAAATAAAATTTCAAACCCCATCAGGTCGTGGTATTTTAATAAAAGCATCAACATCACCAACAGCTGGAATGTAATCAATAAGAAATGGTTTTAAAATTGGTTCAATATGGATCATTTTTGGCGTATACGATTCCACGTATGACAATAATTGTTTCACATCTGCGCTAAGAATTGTTGACACATTTGCGCTTAAAAAAAAAAAATGTTTTTTTTTCTGGCCGTGAAAAAAAATAATAGTAATAATGAAACACATTAAACAAATTTGCGCACAAAATAACATTTTGTTTTTTCTTCTTTTTTAAAAAAAAAAAAACATTTTGATTCTTAATTTAAAAAAAAAAAGTGCGACATATTTTGTTAAACAAATTTGTCATGTCATGACAAAATTATTTTTTAAGTTTTTTGACTAAAACATTTTGATTTTTTAGTCGAAAAAACGATGAAATTTTAAAATACATCACATAATTTAAGAATTATTTTAAAAAAATTAATTTAAAAATTTTTAGACATAATTGATTAGAATATACAAATCATCATATTTCTTTTTTTTCTAATTAATTAATTTGCCGTGTTATGGAAGCTATTTGTTGTTATGTAATGATAATTTACTGCCTTTTTTTTCCGGTTGATTTCTTTTTTTTGTAGACAAAATCTTTGCTGCCCAAATTTATTTTTGGTTTATAAAAAGAAAAAACCGGAACTTCTTATCTTCATTTTCTGATTTTGTAATATCATTAACATCATTTCCGGTTGCAATTGTAGTAGTGACTGTTGCTAAATCAGTAACACCTTGAATCATTGCACCAATAGCACTTATACCTTTAATATATTTTAAAATGAACTAATTATAAAAACAAACATCCTAACCGGTTACATTATTTGACTAAATTACTAACTAATTACTCTCTTAGTTAATTAATTGATTCGAAAATATTTTACAGCTTCTACAATTTCATAATCAAAAATTTAAATTATCTAATAAGTAGAAAAATGGAATTTATTTGATGACACAATAATCAATTTATTTGACATTTATTTGAACAGAAAAAGATGTAATTTATCATCACTTGAAAATGATGATTTGTTTTTCGAATTGTATGCATCATTGGAATAAGCTGATGAGGAGTTTGTCACATTTTCCGTTGGTTGACCTTGAAGAAAGAATCATCTTTCAGGATTTCAAATACTTCAATAATTGTTATAAATAAAAAATAGAAAGGAATTCAAAGAATTAAATGTTGTTATGAACTCATCATAAAAAAATTTACCTCGTTTTTTTCCCTCTCTTTCTTTTTTTTCTTCTCTCTCTCTCTCTCTTTCTGTCAACCTTGCAAAATTATAAAGAAGCAATGCAAAAATTACATCATTAAATGAGAATTGAAGCAAAATTTTGACGAAAAATTGATTATCCACTTATTTTTGTTATATGATCGCTTTTTCAGAGTCGTATAATCGTTATTTTAAAGTCATATAATCGTAGTTTATAGTGGTATAATCGTTGTTTTATAATGATATAATCGTTATTTTATGGTCCAAATAATTATCCTTCCTCTTTTATTTTTTTTCTTTTTTCTTTCATTCCAAAAATATAAATTACAAAAACAGTTTAATTTTTTATTTTTTAATTTCATATTTCAAAATGTTTAATGAAAATTATGGTACCTGAGACAAGATTATTATCATCATCCAATGCAGATATATTTTCCTTAATAAACTGAAATAATACATTTATAGCAAATGACATCTTCCTTATTATATTCTACTTCATTAGATTTATAATTAAAAGAATGAAAGGAATTATCCAAAGTAGTGATTTTTTAGCAAATTTAAAATTTCATAATTTACAATTTCAATTGAAAATTTCATTTTTTGTATAAAAACTTTATAGCTAACAAAATTTACTCGGTTATTTAGCAATTAATATTTGATAATCAATTATTCAAATTCCAAATTATACCTGATCTTGTGGATTTTGTATTGAATGCGAAACTTCTTCGTCTGCATCTTGAAATATTAAATTTATTAAATTACATTTAGTGATATTATGAAATAATCCAAATGATATTTTTTATTACTAACAATTATTCCACAGTTTTTCATACCATAAAAAAGCCTATGATATCACTTTAATTACTCTATTGTAATACCTTGGATAATTCGTTAACTAGTTCTATTATAGCCATAAGCTATCACAAAAAAAAAAATTAGGCTTAACGTTAAAGGAAAATAAGACTTTGACCCCAGAAAGGAAATCTGAGAAATGGATTATCACATCCAAGGAATGGATAGGCTCGTAAATTACCCAATCTCAGAATAAGGAGATAATGATTAAAAATATTCTCTTTGAGGCCAATTATCGATTGGAATTGACGCAATTTAAAGCCATTAATGAGAATCTATAAGAGGGTAATCAATCAGGTACCGCGGTAATTTCAACTCTCAAAGGGTACATTGTCATTGCTGCGGCTAAAAAGCTCGTAGTTTAAATCTGTGTTTCAAGATTTGATTTCATCCATTGGATGAGTAACTGGACTCCTAGGCTAATATTGTCAATTTCCCTTATACATTACTTTAACCGAATTGTGCAGAGTGGCTAACAAATTTAGCTCAAAAAAAGAAATAGATGCAAATTTATTTCTTTTATTTCTTTCTTCCAAATGTTGCCATATGACAAAAAAAAAAAGCACGTGGCCCTAAAAAATGATGAAAAAAAGTTGAATTTTCCTTTAGCCATCTTTATTGTGCATGGATTTGTTACATCAAACTTTACCTGATAATAAATCAATTTCAGATTCACTCGTTGATCCTGATTCTTTCTCTGCAAGCATTACTTCTGCAACATTTTTTTTAACTGATCAAAAATAAAATAGCATCAAATGAAACATTTATGAAAATTAGATATGTATATTAGAAATCAATTTATGTACATTAGAAATTGTGCATATTGGAAATTATTCTCATCGAAAAGAAAAAACGAATTTTAAATTCAATCATTTTAATATGAAATAGAAAATAGAAATCTTCAAATTTTATAAATCTGCTTAATTATTTGTTGTTTTTCATTCTTTTACCCAATGATTAATAGTATTTTTGACGAAAAGTTACTATCTATATATATACGAATTGATTAATTTTAGCATAACTTAGCATATAATTTAGCATATGATTAACATACGAATTAATTAAATTTTAAAAATTATAATATCACATGGAAAAAAAAACAAATCCTAAATTCCATCATTTGAAATAGAAAATAGAAATTTTTCCATAAATCATATAAATAGAAAATAGAAATTTTCAAATTCCATTGACCTGCTTAACTCATTCTTTCCAAATAAAAAATGCTTGAAATTAAACTTACTTCTGTTCATTATTCTCTTGCATTCCTTCACTTCTCTTTTAAAAATCAAATTTATATAATTAATAATCCATTTTTTGTTCCATTGAAACTTTTCAATTTGATCTTAAATTGAAATATTTTTTTTTCAGAAAATGATTGACTTTATAGTTATGATTTAATGTCAAAATAAGTATTGCTCATCAAGTTTGCTGTAATTGGTACCTTAGGTTAATCAAGCATAATTAAATTTCCGCCTCAGATTAGCTTATTATTTTGTTGTTATTGATCTTGAAGGATTCTATCGCTATGAATCATAAACATTGCCTTTACAGTTACTTAATAAATGAATGAATAGCTGGAAAGGTTACAAATTCACTTAGGAAGTAATTATATATGAACGAATATTTGACTGAGTACTTGAATACTTAAATGATTTAACTCATGTGTAGCATATTTTAATTAACGGGTAAATATTGCAACAAATATCAATTTAGTTCATCATTTTATGCTATTTTTAAAATCGATCAAAACTTCATATGTCATTTGTAAAATGGCAATGATATGGTTTTAGTTTTCGGCCATGCAGATGGCAATTTGCAATATTTAATTGCTAATATGAAGCTTTTCTCTTTTCATTTTTTTTTTTTAAATTGTGTACTTGTATGAAACAATATATAATGATCTTAATGGAATAAATACGAAATGGAAATGAATATTCTCCCCAAACATTTCAATTTAATTCCTACAAACATTAAATGCTTAATAATTCAAATAAAATGGTAATTTCAATCATCCAAAAAAAAAATGACAATTTTCGTATTTTGCAACAATTCCTATAATTAGCAAAGTAGTGCTTTACCGTACCACAGTAAATTGATTGTCACATATGGATATTTATTTCATTTCATATTTGTATTTAATTTGAATAAAACTTGGATAAAATTTGAATTTTATTCTTGCTTTTGTTGAAACTTCAATTTTCTGCTTAATTCTGGAAATTCAAACAGATGTCATTCTTGTTGTTTAATAAAGCAATGATTATTTAAAGAGTAAAATATGTCAAGAAAGAGAAAAAAAGAAATGGGGGAGAGAGAGAGAGAGATAAGGAGGGAGATATGATTTTCTAGAAATTATTGATAAAATTTCGGCAAAACAAGTGAAATGATAAGTGGTTAATAGAATTTTAACAATAAACAAAGGATTCATTGTTTAAAATTTCCGCAAAACAGCACAAAGAATGATGATATCAATGATATATGTGTGATTAATTGATGCGATAAATATGTCATATGATATGGAATGATGGAATTGAATTGAATTGAATTGAATTGCATTCAGGAAATTATTCTTTCATATCGAATTTATTCAGATAAAATACATATTTAAAAGAAAAGGAAAAAAATTTGAAATAATTAATTTTGCTAAAAAAAAGAGTGGGAAAAACTTTGATAACATTCAATTTTTATTTTTAAACATTTTTTTTCTTTAATATTAGAGAAAGAGAGAGAGAAGGAAAAAAAGAAAAAAAGGCGAGGAAAGTACCAAAAAGTTTTTATTAAATGAATAGAAATTTTTTTTGCTAAATGATTTATTGCTTAATTTAGCAATTAAAAAATGGAAAATGAAAATTTTGTGATTGTCTTTCTTCCCTTTCTTTTTTCCATTTCATCCATTTATTGATTAATATATTGTGATTAAAATTTTGTATAAAATAAATAATTTTCAAATTAACCAATTTAAATTTCAAAAAATATGACCAGGACGAAATTAATGTAGAAACTATAAAAATATCATAACTAGGCCAAGTAAATTCGCTTAACTAAGCCAAGTAAGTGCCTAAGTTAACTAAATTGACCTAACTGATGCTGTGTTCAAATTGTTATTCGATAATTCGATAATGTATTTATTTCTCGTTGCTATTAGCAACCAATCCATTTAAAGATATTTTCTTTCTTAGCTAATATTCATCCAATAGTACTTTTTCTATGCTAACATTTCGTCTAATAGTAATGAACTTCAATGGATTAAAATATCAATCAGAAAATTATATTTATCCTTATCAGATAAAACTAATTAATTGATAACTATTTGGTAATTAATAAACAGAAATGGATAGTCATAATTATTAATTAATTATTGTGATAAATATGAACTGTGATAATTGTGTAATTATTGGAATACTTTGGCATAACTAATCATAAATTCGATATCAAATCTTTGATTCTATTTGGCTGCTGTCGAGTTCATGTGATTAATTAAATGATCAAGTTTTGATTGCAATCATTGATTGGATCGTAATCAGTATAGTATGGCATAGCATAAATCACATATTTTCTTTAATTAAGTTAGTAATTAAAAATGTGCAATATAAGCTTAATCTTCTTATCAAATATGCAAATGTAAAGTTTTAAATTAGATTGTGTATCAGATTAACAGTAGATATCAAAAATTTTTGCTTTGAGTAAGATTAATATTACTTTTTTGGAAGTTTGACATTAAAAAACAAAAAACAAAAAAAAATTTGATAGTAACAAAATAAAAATATGAAAGATTTTTTTATAATTAAACATTTCGGCCAATTCCGTCATTCAGTTCCGTCAATTCCGCAATTCGTCATTCAGGATATAACTCATATTAAATGCTTGACATATTCCTGAAATACGATCATTCGAATGGATATGTTATCCAATTATGATACCTGATGATAAATGTTGGATAAATGACCGGAATATTCAAGTATGCAAAATAATTAGGCAAGCCTGAAACATGAAGGAATAAGGGAGATTGATTAGAAATAATGACCGGATCATCCTTAAATTAAACAGCATGTGTTGAAAAACAAATAACCGGTACAACCTGATAGTAACCGGATCGAACTTGTATATATTCATGAAAACAAAAATTTACGTATTATGTATACGCAATGCAAAACAAACCATCTGTGATGATAAATTTATTCGGAAGAAATAATTCTCGCAAATTTGTAATGAACAACAATTGATACTGCTCATAGAAATTATCAACAAAATTTAATAATAAAATACAAATACTTCATTTGTAATCATTTTTTTATTTCAAATTTTGATTACAGATTTCAAATGAAATAAAGAAAAAAGAATTTTATCCAAATTTACGATGACAGAATATTTGGATAATTAAATTTGAAAAAAAAAACTATTATAGATCTAAAAGATGAAAATAAAAAATTTATTGTAAAAAAACAATTTGAAATCAAATTTGACAAAATATTCCAGGCAATTTCAATTTTAAAAGGAAATGAAATTGAAATTCTTGATCGAAATTACTATTAGAAAATAATACCAAAATAAAAACCATTCATTTGTATGTTTTATAGAATTTTGCAAATAAACATTGCAACATATATTATCGCATAAGTTATTGCCATTATTGTTTATTGTTGCTTCTATTATTGTTGTAGCAACAATTACTACAGTTGTTGTTGTTATTGCTATTGTTATTGTTTGTTGTTTGTCGTTTGTCGCTGTTTGTCGTTTAATTTCATCGTTTATTACAAGTTTCTTGCCATTTTATTTGATCGTTTTTTTTTTTCTTTTGCCTTTCATAATCTTTGCGAAGCGGTAGCATAAATTTGATGACAAGCGATCATACCCGTTTTAGTATCATGAATTAATTCGACGAGTTGTTTTTTTGATAAATTGTTAATTGGATGATCAAATAATCGAGCAGTTATAACTAGTGGGATTCTCTGAAAAATAACATTTAGATTTTTTTTTTTTTGAAATATGTGAATAATTAAGAAAAAATAAATAAGTAAACATTTTAATATATATTTATTACAATATGATAATTTTTGGTGTATATTTATTACAAATATGATAATCAATATAGTTTAAGTAAATATTTTAACAAAGTTTTTTCATCTTAATGTTAACATTTTCACATATATTAATATTGACTTTTAATATAATTCACATTCATAACTTTCTATATTTTACAGATTTTTAAACTGCAAAAGTTTTGCACAAAATAATAAAATATATCAATTCTAATTTTTTATTTTTTTTTAAATAAAAAAAAGAAAAGGAATGAAAAAAAGCGATGATGTAAAAAAGAAAAAAAAAACATTTAAGTGAATGTTTCATTGTAACTATCGTGACCCAAAGTGATCGATTTATTTTTGTTTTAAATTGATTTTTTTCAAATTTTATTTCAAAAGTAGGCATTTCTATTTTTTTCTTCTTTCATCTTATAATACAATAAATTGAAATCCAATACTTTCTAACAAAATTTACGTCATATTTTCAAATAATTAAAAAAAGTAATTTTAACAATGATTGAAAATAATAATTTTAGTAATGAAGATAATAATAATAATAATAATAATAATAATAATAATAATAATAATAATAATAATAATAATAATAATAATAATAATAATAATAATAATAATAATAATAATAATAATAATAATAATAATACTAATAA